GGGTGGCATTTAATTTCGTTGTACGAGAAGTACAATGACAATAAAGATTACAATTACAATTACAATAAAAGCTAAAAAGAAAAAACCTGGTGCTCCAGCCCCACTGCTCTCAGGCACCCATGTTATCCTCCCACCCTGACCTCGCCTATCCCAATGCCTGGCGGAAGAGCCAGGCTTTAAGAGATCTCTGGAAGTGGGGAGGGTGTTCCAGAGGGCAGGGGCTGCAATGGAAAAGGCACTCTTCCGAGGATCCACGAGATGGCAATGTTTAAGGGAAGGGGCCTGGAGCGTGCCTACCCTATCCGCTCTAGTGATACTGACAGATGTCCTCAGGGAGAGGCGGTCTTGCAGATCACCTGGTCCCAGGCCATGTAGGGTTTTCAAGGTAATAACCAGCACCTTGAATTGCACCCGGAAGAAAACTGGGAGCCAGCACAGCTCACACAACAGGAGTGCAATATGGGTTCGGGATGCCCAATACTGGGCATGCCATTGCATTCTGGACCAGTTGTCACTTCTGGGTGGCCCTCAAAGGCAGCCCCATGTAGAAAGTGTTGCAGTAATCCAAATGGGAAGTGACCGAGGTGTGAATGACCCCATAACAAGCTCTTCCTCTTCCCCGTGGCCCAAGGGGAATTTTGTTTACAACAGGCAGCCAGTCGTATGCTTGGAAGGACATGAAAGAATGGGAAATGAGGAAGTGGAAGCATCTTGGAGGAAGAAGTGGTTGGCTGAAGCCCCAAACAGATCCATCCTGCACTCCAATTGTTGTTGTCGGTTTTGCTTGTCATTTGCTGATCTCTGCAATTAAAGATCCTAAGAATGGAACAGGGGAGGAAGTAAATATTTGGTAACTTTCCATGCGCAGAGAAAGAGCTGAGTTACATCCCATCCTGGTGCCCTTTCAATTCTGATGGGGACTTTAGAAAGCATCGGGGAGTCTTGCCATCAGTGGTCTACATTTTAAATACTGGAAGCCTTGAGACCTGAAGTTGGGAGGGTCTTCAGCTTCATAGACTATCAAAAGCAGGGCATGAAGGAGAAGAGTCGTGTTTGCGTTAGACAGAATATCTAATATTCCTAATATCACTTCCTTCACTGTTCCTTCAAGGCAGGTCACAGCCTGTGGAATTCATTGTGGCTTCACAGTTGTAATGGTCTCAGATGAGCAGGACCGGAATGATGGTGAAGGGTGGAACTGGAAGGAGATGAAGCAGGGCCTGGATAGAATATGCAGACAAATTTACTGATATTTCTTCTTTCATCCAGATGTCCGTTGTGTGAGGCCTCTCGAATTTCAAAATGGCCTATATGAGCCTTTGCAGCATTATTACAATGTAAGTCAGGAGTTGAGGTTTACTTGCTACGATGGATACACACTGCGTGGACCCCAGATACGTACCTGTCTCCCCAGTGGGAAATGGAGTGGAGAAATAGCCATCTGTGATGATGGAAGTGAGTCTGTCTATCAGTTGTGATCAAGATCTACTGTTTCTTCCATTGGGGGAATGTATACATCAGTGTTTCTCAACCATGGGAACTTTAAGATGTGTGGACTTCAACTCCCAGAAATTCCCCCCCCCCCCCCC